CAACTAGTCAGGGTACAAGGTTGACGTGACAGCTGTGTTTGCACGATTGTAGTCGTCACATCTTACTACCTGTTCAAGGTTAGCTATTTAAATGGGTTGTGCTTAGCCTGATGATGAATCTCCGAAAACGAGCTTACATCTACATTTATTTCTATTCTCAACTCCTCTGTCATTCTATTAATTTTAACTGACAACACCAAAAATCTCCTTTGAGAGTTACTTTTGAAACGCAATTATGTTATATAGATTATGTTCTATAGAACGATCGGACCACGTAGTTGGTATGTCTCGCACTTTCGAGAAATATATACCGATCATTTATTTCTTAAAACGGACACCCTGTATTGCGGTCAAATTTTTGAACCCAAGATTTTATTTGGGAACCCTAATAGTCCTCCTCTCCTGGTCTGGGCAACGTGAGTGTATCCAGCTCGCATACCACAACGAACTTTTCTTCACAATGGCCGTCGCAGAGGAGAATCAACGGCATTCTCTCTACTGCATCGAGCGGAATAGATAAGGATGAGGATGCTACTGTTTAGCTATTCTCGTCTTAGAATTCAACCTTACGTTTTAACATCCTTATCATCCCGTTCCATCTTCACTTTTACCTCTTTTTAACCCCTCATTCTTAGCCTACCCCACCCCCACACTCTGCTGCGATACGCGTTTGTCTAGTGGTCTCAACTCATACGCAATCGCGCAGCGTCATTTCAGCCCTAACGACAAGTCCATATCCATCCAAACAACCTCAGTTCATCCGCTTCTATTTGGAGACCTCGATCTTCCCTAAGATTGGCAGGTCTCGATGTGCGCACTTTCTTACACATCGACCAACAGGTAACCCATTCCCGAACACAAGGAAACCCTATCGATCGATATCTACTGCTTATCGGAAAGTTGCCTGCAAGAGTTGAGCTTTGTACTTAGCCAAGGATCGACTTCATGTGACTCTGGCGGTACTTTCACATTGTGTATAATCGGAGATATTGCAGCTTCATATGCCAGTCGAGCAGGTGTAGGTGTTGTTTTGAGACGCGGAGCTGAAACTGCACTAATCGATGAATTCCGGTCAGTAGCTTGATGTGAGCTATTAGATTTGCTGGATCGTTCAAAACTTCAAGTTGAAAAAGGGTCCAATAGGTACCTTTTTGTCACTGCCGCCTACGCTCCGACAGGCTGCAGGGCTGACACGGTGAAAGATGAGTTCTGTCGTCAACTGAACCATCGCCTTCATCACGGCATAAGTACGTGTATTGTAATGCGGCTGGTACACTGAACGTTTAAATTGAAAGACGGTCCACTGGTTAGTTGCATCTAGGCGGCCAACAAGGTGCAGGCTCTCGTAATGATAACAGTGAGTAGTTGCTACACCTGTGTGAAGATGTTCATCTAATTCTCCGGAGCGCTAATTTTTGACACGTCACCTGCTCGAGGGTGACATGGTGCACACCAGCAACGGACGAATCATGGGTGCAAATCGATGACATCGCGATAAGTTACCATCGGAGAAACTGCGTTCGAAACTACCACTCGATTTGGAGCACGAAACTGGACTGGTATCGCACATTTATACTTGCCGATCGCGTGCATTTTGGCGGATACCTACGAGGACGCAGTAAGCACGTAGACATTCTTCAACCAGTGAAAGTGGACTTTCTGTATGCGTATCAAAGTAGGCTAGCATCTGAGGTGAGTACACGTTTAATGAACACAAGTGGGGGTCGCTAATTGGATATTCACCAAAGTTTATTACCAGCAGCTGTGACAAATCCAAGTGTCAGCATGAGAAATCAGTCTCTACACAGTCTCTGGAATCTCGATGCTTGCCGACATATTTCGACTAGGAGAGAATCTAACGTGAGTCGAAAGGACCTCAGGGTAACACTGCGATAAATCCTCAGAAGTGACCAAGAAGCCTGTTGGTCTCTTCTTGAATCGAAGATAGAAACCATTGCAAGATTTTCCGTCTCAAACGTGAAATTGGCAGCATGAGACTTGCTGTTACAGTGACTATATACGATCCACAACTTGTCAAAATGATTGGATCTTTAGGCTGACCACTTTGGAAAGCAACTTAATCGGTCAGAGTTAGTAGCTTCTACAACTGACAAAGATCGCTCTGCTCTCAGGACCGTCTCTTTGGATCGGCCCGCCCGCGTAGAAGTCGAAAGTGAGATCGGATTGATAAAGTTACGTAAGACCGCAGGATCAGATGTTCCTGTTTCAGCTCCCTTCAAATTCGGGAACAAGATATTAAAGATGATTAACACGATTAATTAGGATAACCGCATGAGGATAAAACTTCCTAACGGACTGGAGCTTCTCCGTTACAGTCCCGATTTTCAAGGGTGGCTCATGTTCCGAACGCGGCAATCATATAGGGATCAGTGTGATCACTACTGAAAATAAATTAGTTACCTCTGTCATTCTTCATAGACTGATTGAAAACGTGAAAGCCATATTCGTCGAAATCGAGGCTGTATCGATCGTAAATTCACTTTGTGTCAAGTGTTGAGGAACTTGTATTGGCAACCCATCCCACTCGTGTTCCTTGAAGTCAAAAGCGTCTATGATTCGGTGAATCGATATACCCATTGGGACTGTTTGATTAAGAAAAAACGTGGCAGAGGAACACGCTAACATTAGTAGCGCTCATTACGCGCGTAGTTCGGGCAGAGTGAAGGCTTATGGCAAATCGCCACCGTCCTTCAATATTTCTAGCGCAATGAGACACAGATGCCCACTGTCCTCATTCCTTTTCAATTTCGGCATTGACGAACTCATGGTAACTGCGTCACTTGACATAACCTACAAGATGTGAAGCCGACCATATTGTTCTAATATGTAACAAGTTACAAACGTGCCAAGTAACACTGGACAGACTAGCATTGGTTGTCAATCGTTTTGAGCAGTGCTTTGCACTCTCAAAATGCAAAGCTTCTCTATAAGATTAGTAGGGACCGTTCCCCCGGTGATTCTTTGTAGGGATCAAACTAAAGTCGTCCAGAAAGTCAAATATCCCGGCAGCTATATTAAAGCCTGTGGAACAGAAGACGAAGTGAAACCCCGGAAAGCAAAAGCTCGAGGTGCTTCCGCGCAGTTTCGCCACTTATGACTTCGGTGAGACATCACTCTCATCCTGAAGGGTAGAGTCTACCTAGCCATCGCCCGTTTAACCCTATCGTACGGTGAAGGAACCTGGTTCATCAGATCGATAGACATAAAGAAGCAAGTGATGTTTGACCACTGGAGTGTAGTTCAGCTCATGTCTGGTGGAAACGCCATGTGGGCGATGAGCGTGTCCGGCGCGATGTTTATGACAGAAGAGTGCGGTCATTGTTCACCGAAGAAAGAAGGAAAGTGTCGTTCCTGGAAGTAGTACTGGTGCGACGGGAAGACGGCTTTCTTGAGAGAAGGATCTTTCGGAAGGATTCTCGGGGTGGATAATACACGCACTTTCTAAGCTTCGTGCCTCTGAAGTATAAAGGTAACTTAGTCCGCTGCATATATTACCTAGCCTCCAAAATCTACAGCCCGGAGACGCTATCAGACGAGAAAGAATACCCATTCGGAACGCTGCTCTCAAACGGTTATTCCTCTTCTTTTATCTAAAAGCATGCTGTTGTTCATGAACGCAGTGAAACTGTCATCACAGTTCCCAAAAAGGATGTGTTTCTCAAGGTTCCGTGTAAGGGTGACATCGCTTTCGATCTATTGTACAGAAGACCTTCCGTTGCAGTGACAAGAACATACCCAGCCGCAAACCCATACGTTCTTGCTGAGACCACTCCATTTAGTACTCAGGGCCTTAAAGACAGAGTACCGGCCAAGTCCGAATCGTACGTGGTATATCAATTCACTTGCACCTGTGGTGCTAAGTACCTCGGACATACGACCAGGCGTCTGTCAACAAGGATAACTGAGCACCTACCCCGGTCTCTACGAAAAGGCAGTGCCGGAAGTATCAAAAGTTTCATCCTTGAACATCTGGTTGAAAGTGGACAAGAAATTCTGATCAATGACGCTTTCAACGTTTACTACACCGTGTCAAAACGATATCCTAAGGGGATTAAAAGACGCCTTCTTAAGATTGCGAAATCGATAGCGATCAAGTTGACGCAACCGGAGCTTCGCAAGCAGATGATGCTACTGCAATCTCTCACGCTGCCGTGGCGGTGACAAGGATGCATCCGCATGGAACATTGATGAGACCAAAGGTGGTATCATTTCTCAGCTGACCCAATTTGCTTTGCGAAGTGGTCAGCGAACTGTGTCAAGTGGGGTGAAATAAGGCTTTACCAATTGGCCCGATCAAGTTAACTTCCGTCAGAATAAATGCAGACTCTCTCCTACTTTCGCTTCAGTTTTCACTAGCTTATGCGTATCCCAGTTGTGCTTGTAAACGTATTTGCCTGATGTGAGTTACCGAAAAGACATCTCTTTGCAACCGTGTTTTCTTACATTACTATGGGCATTAGCTACGAATTGTTATCCCAGCCATCGGGTCCAGAATTAGCAGTCAGCTGTTATGCGTACCGGCCCACTGTCCCCCGTGACGTGTGTTGTTCGCACGACAGATGGCTGGGTGAACTAAGGGGAGAGGAGAACAGCCGATGACTTGATCAAGAGGAATGAAGACTGTAGCTTAGAATTTGGCCCCGATTAGAATCTCCAGATCTAGTGGTTCAGGTCCGAAAAAGGATGGACAAGTTTGCTTAGAGAGACTTATTGACATAGTAAGAGCCGATCTGTATAGAGTCTGTGATATGGGTTTCTTTGCCTCTCCTCCTTCAGCCACGATCTCGATGCCCCAAAAACATAATACTATTTTATTGCTTTCCTTCTATTGTTCCTTCCTTTCCTCTGCGTCAATGCAATTGTATTACAGTGCGACACAACAGCTGAGGTGACTCTGTCTTATAGCTAACATGTGGTGATAATGATCATGGTTTACAGCATCAAAAGAGTGACAAAAAGGATAGAAACATTCAACTTACCTTGCGTGTGACTTTTCATAAGGATACGACCCGACCAACCCGGTAAACCTCTGGGATCAGGTGCATAGAACAGCAAATCGCCGTTCTGAGACATGGAGGGAGGCTCAACTGGAAGCCAGCAGTTGGAATCGACAAGCGAGTTGATGGACGTAGATGGTAATGCAACCCACACCGATAAGTCCTCTTGCAAAGAAATGCTTACCTGAAAAAGAGAATTAAAAAGTCAAATGTTAGTTAACATGTATCAAATCCATTCTGAAACTCCTGAAATACAGGGAAACGCTACCGATGAGAGTAACATGAAGTGGGAAGGCACCCATCACAGACAAGTGTCGTGGTTTCTGCTGCATCCAGGTAATTTGAGCACGTTAGGTTCATCCCGTCCAGATCGCGCTGATGGGATGGCGGTGAATACGAGGTGCGATGAAAAGTAAAGCGAGTGACTTTACCCACTGCGTTAGGAACTGGTACTGTGCTGCCGATTTCTTGTGTAAACACCAAGCAAGGTGAAGTCGCGGGGTCACACGCCGAGGAGTACAAAGGCAGCGTCAGTCAATTCGGTAACTAGGCCCGATTGGCAATGACAACGTAATCCGGTCTCAGTAGTCGGTGACCGGGAGGAATAAAAACTCCATTTGCGACCACTACGAACACAAAGGATCAAATGTAGAGATAGCGTAGCCATGGCAGGTACCGCTTAACGTGGTGATGATTAAAGAGTGGCTCCACAATATGTATGGCCTCGGCTCGGGGGTGTGAATGGGGTCCCTAAAACGACCCATCTGGCAATCTTTATATCTGTAAGCCAAGTATGAACAATGTTCGTGACAGAGAGAATAGTTTAACCTAAGGAACCAGGTAATAGGGGGTGTTTCCGTCAAGCAGCACATATTTGTAATGGTAAGCTGCTATCAGGTAACCATACTCGGCCGAGTAATGGTTCATTGCTGTTGACCACATCAACTATGATTCGCAATGCCTTGTCATCGGTAAACTGGAGAAAGCCGGTGTAAAAAGAAAGACCGCAAAATGGTTTGACATCGACAGAATCATCTGTCTTAATTACTGGCAAATACAAGCAAACGACTGAATGCGTGTCTTTTACATCCTGACCATATCATGTCAAACGAGGTCTCCAGCATTCGTGTGATCTCTCGTATCTTTTGCCTAGGACATAGACCCGGAAGCAGAGTTCCAGGTACTATTGAAGGACCGACGTAACGCGTCATTTGAACTGGTTTATTGGTTCACTAACCTGAGCAGATGTATCAGCTTTGGCCGTCAGCCGACCAAGTAGGTCACTGCGCGTGCTCAGTGATCGCGCGTGACTTCCAAACTACAAGAACCCACGCAGGAGACGAGCTATTGGTTTTGGGTAGAGATGAAAGCACACGATCCTGCGTGGTAACTAATTCCGCGTGAACAAAGCCAAGTAGCAATGCATTGAAAACAATAAGAGACCGCATGTGTTTTTTAGCGGTGATCCCAAAGCGTTGGACCTATGTGGAGGAAGTAGCAGCAAATTCGTCCCAGCTCGGTGGGTACACCGAGGTGCGATAGATTTGCTTGCACTCGGTTGATATGTCGTAATACAGCTCAATCAGATGATCATAAAAATAAAAATCATATAAACGTCGAGAATGCGCGGCGCAATTCATGTCCGATAGTATTTCAAAAGGACTCTCAAATAGTATAAAAAAGTATCCGCAGCACGCCGGTACACAGTACCGATGCTTTGCTGACACGCAACCACCACGTCGCGCGCGGATTAAGGACACTGCGAGGGTCGCTTGATCCCCTACGCAGGCTCAAATCCATAACTTCCGGATTGCAGGCAGGTAAGTGATCATTTCAGCTACGGACCTATGCATTACCATATTGCGCAACGACCGAGGAGTAAATGGGCATGATCTCAAGAGCAGTCCATAGCAACGCAATCTAGTACTCTGTCATCTAGTAAAAATGTCTACACATGATAAAGCTAGGATAGAATGATTTCTGATTATTTTGGTCACAATGATGAAAATTAGATGGGGGATAAAGAAGTTCTGATGCACCCCGCTGGTCGCAGTGGACTCAGGTGACAGCTTCTCGTAAACTCGTATGCGCCCACGATGGATCGCAGTATTGAGATTGCCAAAAAGAAAAATCTGTACACCCATCGGCGATAGACAATGCTACAGATATATGTAATCTAATGAAGTATGGGAGTGGTCCTCTACTGTAGTAGGACTGGCCGATAGACATCAAAACAGGAACCTGGTAAAGTATGCATGTGCGATTCATGCGCACCGAGAGTTCGCAAGGATTTCGTTGATTCCACCATCACAAAGAAAACTGAAGCACGGTTGTGTGATATTGTAGTGATTCTGGGTATGACACTACGACGACCTTCCCCAAGATCTTTGTTGGCTCTTTCTAACGACGCGAATAGCAAGTGACAAAAGCCACTCAGATGGCATTTATTTACGACAAATAGACTGCACAAGTGGCTAAACCAGTTGTTGGCGGCGTCCGGTTGATTATCTCATGATTGTGTTGACAGGATTCTTTCTTAGATTTATCGGTACACTGGACTGCTTTCATGGAAAAAGACCATAGCAGTACGCCGGTAGTTCGTACCGACGCTTCCGCTGCTGCGCAACCACTAACAGTCGCACGTGGGCTAAGGATACTGCGAAGGTCTCCCGGCCTCTACGCAGGCTCGAACCGGCGCGCTCAAACTATAAAGCAGGCTTGTGATCCCTAAGTGTATATGCTACGTAGAAAGTTCAGTATCACACGGTTTCATTTCCGCTTGGTATGTTTCCGCAGACTTTTGAGTTCCGTTTTGCAAATCCTGCCCTACCATTTCCACGGTTTTAGCATTATCTTCGAAATGCTGAAGAAATCACCTTGTTGTTCCTAACCAAAAATTGTTAAACATAGTAAATGTCTTTACCTAATTTGATTGCTGTGATAGGTTTCAGATATCGTTTACTGGAGTATCTGCCGATTCCTATCGTCTCTGGCGTTCCATTCGACATGATTTTGTGCAATGATTGTCGCAGTCAGGAGCAGCCAGAGAAATGTAGGACGGTTACCGATGAAGATCGCGGACAATCATATTTAAGTGTGAGAAGTTCTGGACACAGTAAAGCTAAATGGCTTAGATTCCATCCGAGGTTCAACCCAGCATCCGTCTCCTTTCTCTATTAACTCATTACCCCACCATCCTAATTATTCCAGAAGTACGACACCAACTGAGGCTAACGGTCCACCGAGTTTGTTCTCTGCTAGCTCTAAAGACGCAGATAAATTCCCAATGGCTGTGGAGTCATGGAAAACTCAAAGAAGGAAGAACCCGCGAAACTAAGATAAACTTCCCACCAACAAGCCAGGTCAAGCAAAGCTCGAAGCAACCCACCCCCAGTAGGAACTGCTTCGAAGGATAAAAAGCATCATCATCATCACTACATGTTAGCTGAGGGTGAGAAACACGCCTCAGCTAATGTGTCGCAATACAAAAAAGATAGGATACCCAAAAAAACAATCATAAAATTCAGAAAATCAGGTAATATAAAGCAAGATATGCTATTATTAATTTGCTAAGAGATCGTGATTGGAGGGCGAATCTAAAGGAGAGTGAGATAGACAATGAAACGTATAGCACAAAGGTCATTGGGGCCGGCTCCTAGCGATTTCGTCCTCGTCCTTAGGACCCCAGCCAGGCAGTGTAGAAGCACCAACTGACTTCTAAGTGAGAGTTTTCATTACTCTTGACCAAGTCAGTGCTTGGCCTCCCCTAATTCTCCTCCATACAGACCTCGGGCAGGCAAACAGCGCACTTCGCGGGAGTCGGTGGGCTGGCATGTGCAACATGTGGTCCAGCCATCGGAGCCTGGTGCGTGATATAATGGCGATGAGCGGTTCACTAGCTTTTCCTGTACCAAATACGCGACGCAGAAGATATTCATTGCTCATGCGGTGCTCCTATTAGACGTACCTAGGCCCTTTATGTCTCTCGACCTGATGGGCCAAGTTTCACAACCGTATTGGAGGGTTGATCGAACCGCTGCATTGTAAACTCTGCCCTTCATGGCGAAAGTGACATCGCGTCGGCGCCACAGGTGGGGGAGGTTGGCAAAAGCACCCCGAACTTTTTTATACGGTACGTGACCTCATCTCCAAGCCAATGGGGGCTAATATGGCTGCCCAGATACTTGGAATCCTTAAGGACTTCTGGCTGATCACCAAGGCGGGTCAGCGCAGAGGTAGGTATCTCAACGAACAATACACGTTAGTTGAGGGTGAGAAACACACCTCAGTTAATGTGCCGCAATACAATAAGGTAATATACAAAACAAAAATTACACTACAAAAGACCCAAAAGCAGGTAAAATAATGTTAACTATCCTAACATATATTGAGTATGAGATCGTGATTGGAGCGGCAATCTAAAAAAGAGGGGAATGGACAAAGAAGCTCACATCACAAACCAGTGGGGTCGGCTCTTCGCCATATCAGCAGATGTGTCCAGGCAAACGTGTTCATCGTCCTTAGAACCCCAGCCAGACAGTCGAGATGCACCAACCGACGCCAATTAAGTGAGGGTTTTCATTTCTCTTGACCAAGTCATCGATCGCTTTCCCCTCCTCCTACTCCAACCGCACCCCCAGCGTGCATACAATGCACATCGCGGGAGTCGGTGTGCTGGCATGCACAACATGTGGCTCAGCCATAGGACCGTGATGGGTGATATAACTGTGCTGAGCGATGCACTAGCTCTTCGTGCACCAAATACGCGACGTCGAACAAGGTCATTGCTCATGCGGTGCTCCAACCAGACATCAGCTAAGCTGCGAACGGAGCGATGGTCAAAGGTGACTACCCTCTTTGTGTCCGTCGACCTGATGGGCCAAATTTTGACAACCGTATAGGAGGACTGAATGGACCGCTGCATAGTAAACTCTGCCTTTCATGGCGAGAGTGATATCGCATCGGGATCACAGGTGGCGGAGATTGGCAAGAGCACCTCGAGCTTTTGCTATGCGGTCCGTGACCTCATCTTCAATCCCGTGGGCGCTAAAATGCCTGCTCAGGTACTTGAATTCCTGAACGAGTTCTAGCTGATCACCACCAAGGGTCAGCGCAGGGGCGGGTTCCCGCCAATCTTAGATAAGTACTTTGCATTTCGAGGGAGCAAAACATAGCCCAAAACGA